GTTAGTACTTATTCTGAAGAATTCCGGCACTTAAGAAATTTCTCCATGAAATGCTACTATGAAGCCTAGACACATTTTGTATGAGCTCAAACCTTCCTCCTTCCACTCTCCTCCCCAGCCCTCCACTGTACCTATCCACACAAAGAAATGCACCTGAGGCTCCTAGAGTGGAACATGTGCTCAAGCAAAGGCAATCTCATTCTCCTTTATGTTCAATGTTACCTACATGACATGTGTGTATTAATCCTTCCAGTCACTACAGGAAATTCTGTTATCTAAATTCAAAATTCTATTCTACCTCAATTTGTTGATAAAGAAGTCCAGTCCCAGAGAGGCTGCATTACTTATTCACAAAAACAATAATCATTTTGATAACTTAATCTAACTCAGTATGATTCCAGAGCTTGAGATTTAACCTGTTGATCAAGGTCTATGTATTATAGGGCTGGATCTGGAGTCACAAAACAACATGATTTAGTGCAAGGATGAATCAAAACAACAGTATTTTCATCAAAAGTATAAGGAATAATAAGGGTCAGGAGGTAAAATGAGAAGTCTGGTGAATCTAACAGGGGAAGAGTGCTTTCTTTAGAGTCTATCCATCTGAAGGCTCAATGGCCCATCACAGAGATTTCACCGTACTCTGCTGTACATTTCACAGAGCAGAAAATATTGGGTCCTTTTAGCAGAGCTCCAAGGGACCTAAGGTCCATGTTGTAGATTTAACAGCCTATGACTTCACAGAAATATTTAGGGTCTTTTGCTGCTATCTGTTGACTGAGGGATGTGGGGTCATCAAAGTGCTACAGTAGCTAGTATGAGGCATCTTTTATCTGGGACCATTTCTGAATATAAACCATGGGCTTGCTTGTGATCCAGTCAGGACATGCATACCCTATCTCCTATGAGATACTGTGAAGGATCCAAAACAAAATAGCAAAATGACAGATTCTGTTATCTAACACTATTTCACTAGGACCCATTGATGCAAATTGTTTTAAATCTTCCATTATTGTTGGCTGTTGACTGAGTATCTTCTAAATGCCTCTTCATTTTCATTGTATCTTATATCTTCTCATTTTGCCTGATATCTTAATTTTCTTTTACTTTTTTCCAAACCTAAAATATTACTAATAGGTCAAAAGGAATTGGGATGGTGGGATGATTTTCCCATCAATCCTGACCTGGCCACCTCAGTTCAATGTAACAGCTCTGAGTTCTTCTAGGAAATGATTTATATTACCCATTTGACACTTAAAACAATATATTATTACTGTGTTTATTAGGTTGATTCTGCTCACATCATTTCCCACTTACTCTCTTGCTACCACAAGTACTTTGACAATATTAATAAGATTTTCAATTCTGAAGGTGTTATATTATACCTTGTGAGTAGTAAGATCTATATTTGCTGGTTTGGAGTCTATTTTTTCCTATGCTGAACAACACTTTTTTTGCTACATATAATCTATAAATATTGCTTCAGAAGTAATTCTTGTTAATATGGTTGTAGTAATAACTATGACACTACCTTTAAAAAAGTAGATAAAAAGTTCCTTCAGCTTTTGAATACAAATATTAGATTATTCATATTAACATATCATTAGAATATAAACACAAACCAATAACTCAAATTCAGTAGAGTAATTAACCATACCTAACTTGGCTTTAAGTGAGTCTTAATAGTTTTTGTTGACAATTAAAATTAAATATTATAAGTGTAGCATGAGTCATTTAGTAAAATTAATGTATTATATAATTATCATTAGATAGCAACAGGAGACCATTATGATGCATCAAAATTCCATTCCAAGAACATTACAACTTCTCCAAAACTGCAGAATCAGTTGGATGTAGACTGCTTTGCATATTTTTCTCTTCCTTTGTACTTTTGAAATCATTTTAGTTTTATGAAAACACATTTTTGCCTAAAGAACAGGACAACTATACTGTATTAAATTATGAGTGTTTACATTCATATTTCAAGTTTTAAAACTAAAATAAATTACAGAAGCTATTTCTTATCAAATTGAAAAACAAGGCAAGAAGGAGAAAGGTTAATGCAGGAAATTTTCAGGAACAAAGAATCACCAGGAAAAGTGGCAGAAACAATAAAAATGAAAATTAAACTAGAAATAATAATTGTATTGATGTCTACTCATGCATTTTAATTGTATACTTCATATGGTTTTACCTCAATTCCAAGTATTAAGAAAATAAGAAAGTCAATTTTCACAAATTATTTCAATACCTGTAGTTGATATATACAATTAAAAGAATTTGTTCTCAAAATATGATATTGTAGAATTAAAAAAAAAACCACAATGTAATTTAATCACCAGTATGATTAGTTCAGGACTCATATGCTTGTACTTTTACCCTTTTGAAATTTAGGATCTTCCACTATAAGCTATTCAGAAAACTATGTTGTCATACCTCAGATTCTTCATGGGAACCCCAGCATCTTCTATAATGTGGCTTAGGGAAATATTTATGATAAGGCATGTCTTATGATATGGTTTGCTTTCATTGCTCTTGCCTTTACTTACACAATTGCCTTTTCTTACACAATTACCTTTGCCTTGATAGTAACCGACCCCTCCCAACTTCACTCTTACCAGTATTCATCCTTATGAACAAATTTCAGCATTTATCACTTTCTATGATTTCTGCATATGTACCAAATGAAGAATTTATCACTTTAGAGCCAGGCTTCCTGATGCAGGCCTAATTCCTGTAGTTGGGGAGGCTGAGGCAGGAGGATTGTGAGTTCAAAGCTAGCCATGCAATTTAGTAAGGCCCTAAGCAATTTAACAAGACCCTATCTCTAAACAAAATATAATAAAAGGGCTGGGGATGTGGCTCAGTATTAAGCATCCCTGAGTTCAATACCCAGCACCAAAAATAAGAAAGAAAAAAAAGTAAAGAATGTGTCACCTTCTTAGTTTGGTATGGGAGAAATTTTCAGTGTCCAATGCTATCCTCAGAACATTGGAATACTCTAGCCAACTTTCAACTGCTAGCATCTATAGCCTAACATACCTCAGAATTCGCCTCCTTCTATCAGTATTATGTCAGTATTTGCCTACTTACTGGTGATGAAGAAAGGCCAAAACATTGCCACTTCACCCCAAGCACCTGCAGCCATGCACTCTCATGATTTAGTGTATGAATTTTCCATTTCCATCACTAGTCAGGATAAATAATTCTTAGTACAAGTTTATACCTTTTCTTATATACCCTTTGATACCAAACTCTAGTTCTTTTAGTAATAACTGATTTAAAGGTAATCCCTTTATTGGATGCTGCTCCTTTTCCTTTTATTGCATATCTCCCTTATCTCTTCTTTAGCGCTACCTGAATTTCTAAAAAAAGATTATATACACCTGAATCTTTTGTCTCTATTTTTTTTTCCTTATGGTAAGACATTGGACATTGGAGATATGGCAAGGGAAGTGGATCCTTCTGATGGGTTTGTGGAGTTAAATCCTTCCAGAGCCAGGAAATCAAAAGAACCACCAGGAGATTGTAATTTCACGATGACCCAGATTCTCCCCTGTGGTGAATTAGGGTGGCATACAAATGAAGAGGATGTATGTTTTATACAATCTCTACAGGCTTTGATAATGACAAAGATAATGATAATGACTGTGGAGTTCCTAGTTTTCATATGATAAGGGATAGGATCAAACTAGACAAAATCCCAGAACACAAGAAAGTCTAAAGAAACATTTCTCCTTTGCTATTGCAGAAGACTGGATATAAAACTAGGTCTGAATTATAGAAATGGCTTACTTCAAAGCACCAATAATCCTGTTCAAAAGTCAGGGCATGAACAGGGAATAAGCAGGACCCTGAAAGTTGGAATTTAGACAACCAGGTGGCTCACATTTTCCTACAGGAGGATTCTTTTCTCCAATAATGGTTTGGTTTAGATGAATGCCCTCCAAAGGTTCATGTGGTAAAGGATTGGTCCTGAGCATGGCACTATTGAGAGTTGACAAAACTTTAAAGAGGCTCTAATAGGAAAAAACTACACTTAATGTAGGAACTCAGCCTCTTCCTCTCTCTCTATTCCTGGCACAAGATGCACATAGTTTGCTCCACTAAAAAATCTCTTCATAATATGCTCTACATGAAAATTTTAGTTTGGAATCATGGCTTAGAGGCTCAGTCCATAGTCAGTTGATTCCATTGCTCTGAGATGGAGGTAAGGCAAAATATTATGGTGGAAGCCCATGGAGGAAGAAAGCTGATCAGCTTAGGCTGTCCAGGAAACAGACAGAAAGCAAAAGGCTCCATGGACAATATAAGCCAAGGTGCATAAGTCACACCCTTAGTGATTTTCTTCCTTTAGTCACACCCCTCCACCTATAGTTACCACCTAGTGGTCCATTCAAATTAATCCATCCAATGGATCAATACACACTTGAGGTTACAAATCTCATAATCTAATGATTGTCATCTCTAACCATTGCTACATTGGACATCACATTTCCAACACAAAGTTCTCAGGGTCCCTTCATATCTAAATTATATTTCCTGGAGAACAGCCTAGAAGTGAGTTTTGAGAGTGCTGGCCAAAGAACATGTATGAAATGCAGGACCTTTAATCAATACTAAATATTTGTTTACATGGTCAAGTCAATTCACATGTAAATTTATGTATTTTATGCTTTGAATATTTCTATCTGAACCTAATAATTCAGTTCTCTAAAAATATCTTATGTCCAAAAAATAGAAATATATTAAATAAGAATAATCTTACATTAGTCAATGTTAAATTACACAACAATCATAAAATGCAATCTACATGCTTAATAAGTTAAATCTAGATGAATAGGATAAGATTTAAAAAAAAAAAAACAACTTGTAGAGTATCCAGCAAAGTCATTTAACAGATTACATTAGCTTCATCTCTTTTCCAAAATTAAAGTGTAAGAAACCATGCATTTTTTTTAGAAACACATTTAAGATATATACATAATTATTCCACTTACCCTTACTTGACCCACAAAGGCATTGACTTCCTCCTCCACCACAGATAAGTTTCTAGGCAGATATGGATCAAACACTGGAGCATTGTCATTGACATCTGTCACTACCACGTTTACTGTAGCAGTTGAGGTCTTAAGGGGAAAAAAAAAAGATGATTGAAAGTGAGAGGAGCTATTTTTATCTTACATTGAGCTAAGTTGCCATCCCGGCATTTCTCTATTTGAAAAGCGTCTGATTCCTATTCCTAGTCAGGAAGCAGCAGCCTCAGCCTGAAGTTTTCAGACATCTCAAAAACTGATGGAAAAAGCAAATGATGATATTAAAGGGCAAACATCTTGAAAATGTCAAGTATTTCCTGGAGGCTTACTTTTCAGGAAATGATTTTACCTTTATCTTGTTCACATTTTATGAGTGGCAAGTATATATACACATATGTAGCTCTTTATCCCTGAAAGTACCATTCCTATGGTTTTAATCACATAATTTTCACTGTTTAAAAATAAAACCTAAGACATTATAAAATAAAGTGGTATACAAAGAGATATTCTCAAGCATGCTAATACTATTACTATATATCACCTTAGTTATTGTCATGATTTATAGCTAAATCAAGAATTTGAGTACCATGTACTTGTTGTGGAATTATTCCTCTATAATCATATAGCCTATGGGAAGGTGAGGATTAGTATGTGCTACCTAGTTTAAAGGCAAGTGTTTCACCTTACAACCACAAAATATTATGTTGGTCAATGACTTGGGCACAATCAAGTTTACTTTGTCATGTGTGGCTTGAGCTGGAAACTGATGTCTAATCAAATCCTGAGTTCAGCACTTGGCCTCTACCTATCTCTACCACAGTGTGGGGTAGTTCACAGAAGGCTAAGGACAAACCCTAAATTAAAAAGTCAAAAGTCCATTATGCTGCAGTATAAAATATTTAATGACATATAAACAAAATGTAGGGAGAAAAAGCAGGTAAAACAGTCATCAGAGATTTGTTCATCTTTTGTTTAAAAACTACAGACACAATTTTTACCAATCTGTAACTGATCTAAAGCTAGACTAAAAAGCTGAGCATAGATAAAACAACTAAAGGTGAATGCATCTGAAGAGGATTTGTAGTAGCCATGGTCTGAGGGGTCAAAAATTGGATTTTCTTGCTGCCAAGAAGAGTGGTAATGATAAATAGTTGATGCTTTTTGTCAAGATCACTGAAGTTCTGATGCATGATGATTATATGATGATTATATCAGGCCTCAGTGAGACTTATGCCTCATATCAAGCTCTGAATAGACTAAGCTGAGCTGTCTCTATTTTAAAAGAAGCCAAAGAAGGATCTCTTTTTATCAACATGGTTTATTCTGAATCTCTATATTTATAACATATTAAATGTTCAGCAGTTATTAAAAAATCACCGAGCATAGCAGGGAAGTATTGGGTATTAGTAATGGATTATTTCTTTATCTTGTATGTCCATGGGCATATCCATTAAAAATTCATATAGCTACTCTTTATGATTTATACATATTTAAAATTCAATAAAAATTTTATTTAAAGACACACATAAAGATGGTCAGAACAGCATTATAGATACAAAATCTAGAAACTACACAAAATTCCATCAATAATAAATGTTTATATAGTAAGTTTTACTCAAGCAATGTCATAATACATGGTAGTAAGAATGAATAAACTACTTTGAGTAATCATTTGGATAAATTTTATGAAAATAAAGTGAAATGAAAAAAGTCAGAGAAGACTGAATATAAACTATATACTCCATTTAAATTATATAATTCCATTTATATAAATTTCAAAACCAGGTATAATCTCTACATGGTGAAAGAAGTCAAGACAGGGTCCTTGGGGAAGAAGATATAATAAGGACTGTATAATCAAAAGCCTGGGCTTCTGGAGTTCTGATTAATTTCTGTTTCTTAGAATAAGTAGTAGATACATAGGTGTGCTCCATATGTGAACTTATAAATTTGTACAATTATCATTTGCAGGTTCTTCATTTAAGACATGCACACATACAAACATACACATGTGTTGTGAATATATATGTAAACAAGTTCAAATGTTATGACTAGATGAATTGCAGATATTTTATTGTCCCCCTCTAACATTTATATTTTTCCCAAGAAAGCTACATGACTTTTATAACAAAAAGTATTTTAACAAATATTATTTCTTTAAAAGTTAGGTTAGAGTTGAAACCAGGGTAAGAAATGTGTGTTGTACAGTTGAAGTGGTTTCCAGTTTGCCGGAAGGTGAACAAGACATTAAAACTCTGAGAGTCACCTTAGCAGTTTGCTGGCTTTTCTTCAAAGTACCTGATCATCCTACAGGGCAGACTATCTGTACTTCCCAATCAATCTAATCTACCCTGTTCTCTTCCTATTCTTTTAGAGTCTCATTCTTGATACTACAAAGCTGTATGTTTTCAGATTGTTCTCTATCCTCCTTCAAAGACTGAGTCCTATAGTTGGGTAATGTACAAGAGGACTAGATCACTAAGAAAACTGAAAAATTAAGTAACAACATCATTAAATTTGGCGCCAATAGGGTCTGATATTTATGGACATTTTGGCACATCTCTCCATGAGTTAAGAATTTTACTGAAAATGTAAAAAAATAAGTGTATGCATTCTAGAAATGTAAAGTCATAAACATAAATATACTTACAGTTTATATATTTATTGAAAAGTCTGAAGATAGCACTTGCATTAGATTTACTTGGGTAATCAATTTAAACCAAATACTATTTCTTGGCTATACATTAGAACTATTGACTCTATTTTTTGAATCTATAAAAATTATTATAGACTGGTTAACTGTAAAACATGGGATATGAATTTTTGTAGATTGGGTCCTAAAGACGGTAACAATGTGCTGCAATATGGTTCCAAGTGGTATAGTATATTAAGGCCCTTTATTAAGGATAGATTTTTTTTAGATTTTTAAAATAAGATATTAGTAAATTAGCATAGATCATTTAAATTAACGATTTAAAGATAATGTCAGTTAACTCATTTTCACAATTTTTAAAATCAATTTATATTATGCTAATTAAATTTTAAAAATACCAAGCTAATAAACCAAATTAATAATTAATTAATAATTAATTCTACCAAGAGAATATCCTTACTGATCATTTTCTCAAATGTTTTGTGAACTACTAGCTGAAAATATATGTAATTTAGTATTAAGCACCAAAATTGATCACTTTTGTGTTTTATATCATAGACATATCCTCAGAATATACATTGTGTTCAACCAAGTCATTTAGATATTTCTGTTGTAGCAGAAAATTTGAATATACATTTATCTTCATAAACCAGTATGGTTATGAAATAAAGACACAGATTAGCATTATTGGTTTAGTATAGCATGTCTTATATAAAGTCATAATAAAAGAAGACAATGTATATTCATCTACATTAAAGTATTTTTTCAAATCATAAAAATTTATTTTAATTAAAAATATTTTATAATTGTCCTATCTTTTATACCATATACTTAACATAACCTACAAGTTAATTTTTTAAATTATTAGAAACTAGTTTAAAAGTACAAGATACTTAAGATGTTTAAAATGTATTCATTCTGATTCCCAAGAGAAATTATGATACTTTTCTATTCATAAGGATCTAAATGATAATACAATGAATAGAAATACTTATAAATTCACAATAAGAAGAATGTGTACTCCATGTAATGGAGAAATAGAGAACGAAATGATGTACCTGCCTTTTATTTTATTTATTTTTTTGTCAGTGTTGAAGTGTATCCAGAGACACATTTATACAAATGCTTTTTGAATTTTTGCATAAATCAGTAATATTCAAAATTCAAAAGATCATATCAATTAGATTATAAATTGTGTATGATTATATTAATTGACTAGAGAAGCCTTTAGATTCCATAATATATAGTTATTCTTTTTATGAATAAATTTTAGAGCTCTTTGGAGAGTTTTATAAAATAATTATGGTGTATACATTTTCACACAGAGCGAACACACAAAAACACAGAAATATATGTGCATATCTGAATACCAAAGCCAAAAACATAATGTTGCCAATGTAAAATTACTGATATAAAAGAATTCATATTTAATTTAGCCAATGTCACCCATGTTAGCATTACCAAATGTTGATAAAATAATTCTATTTTGAGTAATATAATTTATATAATATTTTAAGCCCAATAAAGCAATGACCGGGCCACTTATTTAAGTGAATTTATTATATGCACCCAAAATGAAAATTTCTCTATCTCAATTACTTTATTTAGGAATCTCAGTGGTTAGCCTCTTCCTATATAGAACAGAAAAGCTGCTGCAAGGACCAGAAGAATCCACTGAAAAGACTGTACACTGGAGAAATGCTGATCTGTGGGAAGTTTAAAGTGCTAGGATGGGGCTAGCCCTTCTCTAGGAACATTGTCTTTCTTAACTTCTACCCTGTCTGTAAAACACAGAGTTTGAACTTTGTTTTTAGGATCTCCTCCATTCCTAACATTTCACAATTAGAAAATTAAAAAAATAATAATGTTGTTTAGTCCAAATTTAACAAATATACACAAAAGTGTGACATCTAACCCATAGAGATAATTAAAGAGGTGAAGACACCATTAGTAATTGATTATTTTGGCAAAAAGTTCCTTTCAAAGCAATAGAGCACATTCTTTTTTCAAAAAAGTATGTACAAATTTTGTTTCTTCATACAAATGATGTCATCCTAAAATGAAAGTTATGCCTCAGATAATTTTTTCATCTGTGTAAACAAATAAATATAAAATAAATAAACCAGCTTTTATCAAGAAAGTCATCATAAATGTATATATATAAAAAATCATATTCCTTCATTTTATTTATAAAGTTGTATAGAAATTCTTAGTGTTTTCTTCATCTATGTATTAATCAGAAATTTTAAGGTAATCAATTTTAGCAGTAGGTTTATTTGTCTCTGAAAGTTATTTATACATTTATGAATGAAAGATACATTTTGCTGCTATTTGAGTTCATGACTAAAAAAATCATCATACATTTTACAAGTATATTCTGATTTATTTTATTTAGTATAATGTTTTCTAGGTCCATCCTTATTGTTACAAACAATTTCTT